GATGTTCTGCTGTCATTGATGATGTCCTGACTCTAGATGTAAAGAGATGATGTCCGGCATCTAATACTCTAATACGCAACACTAATACTCAAGAGTTTGCAACAATGAATACCTTAAACCGGTATTCTGGTACTGAAACAACAGGGATCGCCCACGCCTCAAATATGGTGAGTACACAACACGTTGCACTTAAGTAATGCCGCTTTCCTGCAGCGTCGTGGTTTCTCGGGTGCTTTACTTTGGCTTCACGGCAAAACAGGCATGGTGCGCTCCCGCGCTTCTAATTGAAACGAAGCCCTGCCTCCAAGCTCTTGTGCGCCGGTGTCAATAAGCTTCGATGCGCGACCGCACCTCTAGCGCCCCGCAGGGCAAAGCCACACGGCGTCGTTTTCGTACTAAGTGTGGATGACCCTGTACATTTTGGTCAACAGTCCGAATATGTGCCTTCGTAACACGTACTTGTGGATACACAGCTTGTGCAGTAAGCCTGAGGCCCGTTATGCCTTTGCAGCTGTACAATTTATCTTTGGGCTACAGTGAAGCTTTTCTTGTAAATTATGCCCAAATATTTGATAGAGTCCACGTGTTGATGGGATCCCTGTTTATATAGCACTGAAAGTTAAATTGAGTGTACAAGCGGAAACACCAAGAGCGCACTTTTGCTGACAATAACGAAAATGCAATGGACTGCAGCTAAATTTCTAACATAATAATGAATCTTTGCATTTGAAGTTGAAGTGAGTGATTGTCACAGTCAGGACCAAAGAATGCAACATCTCCATTAATGTATACTTTTACTTCCAGATCAGTTGTAAGAGTACTCATTAAGACACTGCATAATATTCGTGATGAGACTGTTCCTTCAGCAACTCACGTTTTTTTTTTTTTAAATTTAGACGAACAACTTTGATTTTCTTCTTTGATGTTGATTCTTTGATTTCTTTTGAATTTGAAAATTCTTTGATTTTGAAAATTATTCAGCTCACTCATTATTATATTGTGGAAAACTTGATCTCTCTACACTATTCAATAAAATGGAGTGCTCCTCACATCGTTAGCTTCGGCTATGTCTAATGTTACGGAAGCAGCGTATTGCTTTCTTTTTCGAGCAAGCTGTATTCGGCTCTCTAAACCAGCATGTCCACACCAAATGAAGCAATCACTGCGAAAGCCCATTTGGTTCGGTTTATATTAAGTTATCTTCTATCCAGATACTTATTCTGTCATGTAGGACCCTGTCTATGAAATTGACAATGTTAAATGTTATAAAGATTGGCCTGATATTCATTTTAAATCCACATCATTGTTTATTTATTATGGGGATCACCTTCGCTATCCTCCAAATATGTGCAATTCACGAGTTTTTAAGGAATAGTTTATAACATGAAATACATCACAGGGCGACAATAAAATAAGAGTTTATACTAGGACTGTGATCCCATCTGGACCAGGACCAAAAATGTTAATTATCTAATCAAGTTAGATACTTCCATCAGTGCCACTTTTTTATAGTCAGTCTTTGTCGTTGAGTTTTGACAGTCGTTTGACACAGTCGATGTAAATATATTTTTCAAGTCTTTACCAATTTCCTCTAAAGATTCAGTACTTTCTTTCACCGATAGATTTTCATAATTTATATTTACTGGTGATTGCAAGATTCCCCAGTTCTCATCTTTCACAACTGCACTTTACTATTACTATTTTTAGGCTTCGACAGGATATCGTAATGTCTTCTGTCATATTCTTCCTTAGCTTGGACCTAACGTATGCTTAAAACCCACTGCATCAAATATATGATTCACTGAATTATTCCGGGACTGATTATTTAGGAGTTCCTTCCAAGCAGACTGTCGTCTTCGGTTCTCTCTTATACATTCATCATTGCACCAAGGGCTATACGGGGCTCTCTTGGAGGATTCAATAGTACATTCCACTTATTTGTAAGCTCTTTTTCTAGCTGCATTCATCTTTACAGCTTTCGTATCATCGCCCTCTTTCCAAGTGAGAAGCCAACGCTGATTTTATATAATTTTTAAATTAAGTATAGTTTACAAAGACTCATACGTGAGAATATGATAAATTGACAGACAAAAATATCAACAATTATTGCTAAGTGGTCCTTGTTTGTGCCACATTCCAGCGCTGTCCAGGGAGACGTAGCAATAGCTGAAGTTGCGAAACTAAAGTGTAAGGTGGACCTGGATTGATTTCGAATGAATGTGGAAGTTCTGAGGTTGAGGCACTTAAGACAATTGTCTATTTTCAACTCCCACAAGCGTTTACCACACTGATCAGTCCTGAAATTCCCACTCGTGCGATGTGGGTTAAAATCTGCGATAAAAACTGTCCTTGCACTATGACCTTGTGCTCCGTCAGGAAATTATAGATTAACTAACGTGAGAGGAAAGCAGTTTGGTAAAGAAATGTCTGCTGCCAAGATTTCGCATTATTAGCACGTATTCCTGTACAAAATTTCGGCCTGCATACTAATTCCTAATTACAAAACTGCGCAAAAAAGCGAGAAAAAACAGAGAAGGCACACCCATAAGCCTGTGCCTTCACTGCTTCTTGTCGATTTTTCGTGCAGTTTTGTAGTTATGAATTACCAGCTCGCCCAGCGTTTACTACTCGTACGTTATATCAATTCTATTTATAATAAAGAAAGCTAAAGCTCCTCGGTGGACGGTCTAGTCGAAAAGTTTGGTAGGTGTTTAACTGAACCAATGTATGTACAGATATGCATGCCTCTTGTATTGCATTATTATCAGCAGCGAATTTAAGAGTGATATATAACAATTCTGTAGTTGCCAAACCAAGGCCTGTGGCTAAAAAGTCTTATCGGCGGCCTCCAGGTTCTTATAATGGCACCTACATAGGCACGCTGCGAGGGACTCCCCTATTGCTATAGCACCTTGCAGAGCCGGAGCAAGCGCAATAAGGACTCCCCGACCTGGCTGGCTACCCTGCGACTTGAGCAACGCAACTTCCCATCATACCCTACGAAAAAAGCAACTCGGGACGAAGCCAAGGAGGTGGCCGCAGCAAGGGCAGTCTCGGAGCTTGGGCTTCACCAACAAGTGGCGACTCCTGCAACTCCTGCCTCGAACTCGAAGAAGTATCAGTCTTGGTGCGCCGTTTGACTAGCATTGTGCTTGATAAACCCCAGGGAATACTCAAGGAAGGTTTTGAGCCTCAGTACAAGGAGATTCACTCAGAACAGCTTTCAGGGAACTGGTTTGAGCACCTATTGAAGTCCAATGCCGTTCACATAGAAATGGAAAACCTGTGCATAGTTTACCTTCTTGGTGTCGCTAAGAATGAATCCACAAGAACGAAGGCTGCCCCCGATCAGGAGCCCTTGAAGAACGGCCACAGCTCCGATATCTCGACCGGCTCACCCACCAGCTCCACGGGAGAACCATGTAGCATCTCCGAGTATGTGGATGTGTTCATCTCATGCGTGGCAAGCACACCAAGGTGTACTTCAGCTTTATCGAGTACGAAGAGGCGTACACCAAACTACTTCAAGAGATGACTGCATTCATCACGAGTGGGCCATCTTCCACGAAAGTCGCCGATTCTCCTGAGGTGGCCAAGCTGTACGCCACCTGTTACAACGGTCGATGGCTGCGAGTGGAGCCGCTCAGGAACGCCGAGACAGGGAAGGTGGAGTGCTGCTTCGTTTATGAGGGAAACGCCCTCCCCATCTGTGTAGAAGATCTGTGGGAGCTTCCTTAGCACTTCGTAGAGCTCGCTCATCAGGCTGTTGAATGCGAGCTGGATGGGCTCACCTAGTACGCGGACTGCGATGGTGCTGTCTACATCCGCCTCCGCTATTGCTTTTCACAAGCATGCTTACGATATGCAATAATTATTTTTAGTAAGTTATGCTGCATGTTGGCAACATGATTTTGCAAGCGTTATTTTTAGGCAGACTTGCTCGCGATTTTCGTAGACATTACAATATGTAATATATAGTGTTTACGTATAATTTTTTGTATGTGTAATTGTTTTATAATTATGTATATCTGCCGCCCAATTGTAACACCACCCCTTAGTAATACCCCCTGGAGGGGGCCCTTAAGGAAATAAAAAGTGAAGTGAAGTTGCACTGTGACTTTTGATAGCAATAAACTACTCCTATCCTAGAGGTGTTATCGTGGATTCTGCAAGGGCAAGCTAATCATTCTAGAGAAATGTTCCGTTGGTCTCAATCGAAAATGCACCAGAGACCAGACTATATACCTACTTACATAAAAATAGCTTGTTCGATCAACCTGAATACGCGCGATAACGTGTATTGTTGTCGTTTCTTTTTCGTAGATTCCCTAATTAGAAAATTTAATGCACTTTTATAAACAGGCTAATGTCATTCAAAATCACAATCATTAAACTGTCTAATGTCAGCCCAATGCACTTTTCTAATGTGTACCTAATGTGAGTCTTGTAGTAATTGGCCACCATTAGTCTATGGAGTTATGACATTCGAGTTCCTGATGACTATAGTCTAGCCTAAGTCTATAGAGGCCCGACACTAGAGTTACTGATGACCATTGGCTAGTGTTAGTCTATAGAGTCCCGACATCTGAGTTTCTTATGGCCGTTGTCTAGTGAAGTGCCATCGAACATATGCATTAGGTTGATATCAAACGTCGCATTGTAGACTAAGGCCCTATGCCATCAACAGCACATTTGCTGAAAAGCAGATCAATATATCGCTTCATTATTAATGTGAAAGTGTGCACACATTACAGAATTCTAAAGTAAATACTATCAGACCATTCCCGCCAACGAACACATCATTGTTTTTTACATGTCACAATTTTTCGAGGCCGATAAATAATGCTGCAAGTATATAATGTCTGCATTTGGAAACACGCATTACATTGTCAAGCAATTCAGTTCTGATAGGACAATAAATGGAGGTAGTTCGTCCTTGTTTACAATTCTTGCAAAAGTACTGTTTTAAAATTACAAACATAGAAACACCAAATGAGACATTTCCAGGAATCACTGCATTTGTATTCAATTTTGGACTTTGCACTGATGATAGGGTCTCTTGTAGCACCGTCGTTGTGGTACCACTGCTGTATTAAAAACCTGCAAGAGAGAACATGAAAACTTAGAAGGCACTGAAGCGTACATTTTAGCGCAGCACATGAAAAGACATTGCAATTGATGGGCTATGCCTTTCTAAATATTGATATATTTTAATCAATTACATTAAATGATGGATCTGCATTCAATGTCGAATCACATAGCCTTGACTTCATGCTGCATTGAAAAAAAAAACTGACCACTATACACCAGTTCAGAGGTCTGCCCCCGATTCATTACTAATTGGAGAGATGCCAGCTTTCAAGAACAGAGGAATCAGCTCAGTCAGCTTCTCTAAGGCAATATTGCAGAATAACCTCCTTTCACGATTCCAATGGCACCCAAGGTATGACTACGGCATGCAACAGTGGGTCTATTCCACAAATTTGTTTTACACAAAACTTCCACATTAAAACCCCTCTTCTTTAACAGAGAACTGTTGAGGGCTCATGCTCAGAGGTGCAAAGTCATATGCATGCGAAGGATTTGCCTACACTCGGGTGGCGGAGAGGTTCACCAAGGCACCCCCCCTTACTTACTTAAGTAAGCTTCCAATTTTGTAGCCGGTAACAAGTTGGGTGAGAGGATGGCTGCTCCCCACTCCTATGCACACGCCAATGTGCAAGGTGAAATTGAGCAACAAAGAGGCACATGAAATGTAGAGCTATGTCTAGGTGACACAGCAACACAACTCTAGTGAAAACATTTAAAAAATTGTGCTTTTTGTAACCTGGAGTACATTACACAGATACGCTGGTTGTAACATGTTACAGGTCGTTTCTACACATCTTTCTACACGCAACAGATTGGAGGAAGCAAGCGAAACATTTTTGTACCCTTGATTACTTTTGCATATTATTCAATCGCTAAAAATACTATATTTAGATACTTTGAAGAGGTGACGAAAGTTTTACAAAAAGGAAATATGTTTACCTAGCTCCATGCTTTAGAGTGCACAGTTGCCCATGTTCACAAGCCAGTATTGCGAATTATGAAACTGATCGCTGGTCATTATCAAGCACAAGAATCCACACTGGGGTGTGTTGGCACTTGCTGAACGTCTTGATTGGACAAGGATATGAACTTTTTCTAAAGAAATATTTCAACAGCAGGAAAAACATGCACAATCAAAAGGGCGGCAACGCGAGCTAGCACTACTTTGTGTCGCCTCCCATTTCTCTGTTCATATTTTGCTGTACCTTAGAAGAGTTTCTAGGCGATGAATTACCAACCCGACCAAACCCTTGCACTAATCAACTATTTAAAGAAAGAGCACATCACAGTGTTGAACTCGTGACTATTTTAGATCATGCGGATGCCAAAAATATCGCCTTAACCCAGGCGTCACAGAGATAATACAATACAAAGTGTATGTACGAGCTCAGCGAGGAAATAAAATGTACGCTCAGGAATGAACAGAATCATGAGCTTAGACGCCGACACATAAAGAATAATAAATGCAGCAGTCCATGTATTTGCTTGCGATCCCGTTTCCTCTCAAATAGATTCCAACATACCCAGTATGGTCAACATATATGTACAGTACTCACGGATCGAGACAGGACATTCGTAGCGCGTGGCCGCCAATGCATGTGCCACCGCTCAAGGGGGCTCGCGGAACCAGGGCATTGCACCGTTGTATAGAGTGAGGGCGAAAAAGCTACGGAGCAGGCTTACTCTTTCCAGTCGCTAAAGAGTCGACAATTATTTAGTTCACAAAGTGCACACTGCCAGCATGGCGCTGCAAGGCTAGCGCACTCTTGTATGCATGCAGCCCGAATCGATGGGGACGGCGCGAACCATTTATACTGTGACGCAAACAGACGACGCTCTCGATCGGCGCCCTTTGACGATGGGGCACGTAGGCTTCGCCAGTAAGAAATTGGATACCGCTAAGATGTCGCGCCTGAAATGCACTCGTTGACATGATAAATAGCCGCACAAAAGCATAAAAAGTTCTTCAAGCTAATTGTCCTGACAAAAAAGAAAAGTACCATCCACGGGCCTGTTTCGGTGCAGCATCAAAACAACGACTTGGTACTTTGTAGTCTCGACCCGAGCAGTGAATAGTTTGGCTATTCTGCGTGGCAAGCATTTGTAGAGCTGTTGGCCACGGAATAACGAGCGAGCTTCTCGCATTTTTATTCAGCAATAAGCCACAGTGTGCCCTAACGACACTAACACATATTATTTCCATGTTGCATGAAAGAAAGCATGCCACACATTTTCTTTCTTGTCGAGACAGAAACCATGAAGTAAACTTTCCATGCTTTTGTGCAGATGTTTATCATGTCTACAAATGCAAACAAAGTGCAATCTACTAACTGAATCCTGCGTCTTACTTGCACAGCATGCGTACTGCATTGCCTAAGCACGCAGAACGAGAGGGTCGTCTGCTGGCGTGGCAATAAAAGTGGTGCGCAGCGGCGAGCCAGTTTGGTCAACATGCGAATGTGCGTGAGCCTTGCAGTGCTGCCTTGGCAGTGTACACGTGGTGACCTACAGGCCGACAATTTGGCAATCAGAAGGAGTAGTCCTACACCATAGGTGTTCTCCCTATCGACCTAAACCAAAACACAACACACTGGTTCTACGCGCACTCACCAGCAGCGGCACATGTACCGTCGGCCACACGCTCAGAGTGTCCTGTTTCAATCCGTGAGTACTGTACTTACGTAAGAGAATGAATTCATTCAACAATTTAACTTTGCAGCCCAACAAGGCTATTCAAGGCACTATCACACAGATTATACTTCTCTGTAATATAGGCCTCCATGTCTTGTGAGCTGTGTTACAAGCACACATTCATGGTATTTTCATAGATTGTGGCGGGAACACATTCTAAACAATGTAATGAAACATGAGTACGAGCTGCCTCCCAAGAAAAGCTGTCCCTAATTCAGAAGATCAAACTCTCCGGCATGACGATTACCTGAGAAGGCTTTGTTAGAAAGCAAGAGGTACTTGCATGTTGCACGAAGTTACTTAGAACAAGATTGCACTACAACTTATAAAAATACCACAAATCTGCCCATACACGCGAAAATTCGAAAACGAGCTGAAACAACAGCCCCTGAAACTTTCTTAAACACGAATTTGCAAAATTCTTGTGGCAGAATGTGTACATAGCAAAAGTGTACTTATTTAAATTCATTAAATATTTTAGACTTCCATGTTGTTTACTGTCCTTGTAAAAAGCACAAAAAATGAATGACACAGTCCACTTGTAAAAAAAAGAACTTTGTTATAAAGAAATCTTTCAATTCCAAAAAAAAAATATTAAGGGGTGGTGCCACCAAATTTCGAGGCTACCCCAAGCCTTTTGTGGGTTTCTTCTGTATGCAAGCACTCACCCCACAAAGGGTTGGAGACAAGAAACGCGTAAAATATATTTTAATTAACTTTTTAAAGTGTACCTGAATGCTCACTCTCACGATCTAGTCCCATCGCTTACGCAGAAACACTGACGTTTCAGAATAGGAGAAGCAAAGGCAGTTGTTGTGACGTCACACCAGTTTTGTAGTGACGCGAGTGACCTTCTTCATATCCAAAACGAGGCTGCTGTTACGAGTGTGCTAGCATCCATTGCCGATAGACAGTGCGCGTCGCTCGAGGACATTTGGTGCTTTCGAACAGACACTCTACGCGTCCTTTGCGGACAACGAAGGCGTCGGTCAGAGGCGCTGCGCGCGTCCAACAGCGGGGCTGTCTTCTCCTTCTTCAGCCTACTGTACATACGTTGTAAAAATAAACGCTTTGTTTAATTCTGGCTGCCTTTGGCTTTGCCAGTGCCTGGATGCTACTGCAGATGGCCTCGACGACTGTCAGTGCGTTTCTTTTGCGGGTGCTTGTGTGGCACGTCTGTGAGAGCAGACGAAACTCAGCACGATGTACGTCACAGCATTGTGTGGTCACGTGACAAAGCCACCCATGCATTGACGTCACTGGCCAACTCGGCGCCGTGAAACCGAAACCGAAAATGGTCCCCATAAGTAGAGCACTATTAAATTATTTAGTGAAAATACACGAATCTTGGTGCATGTATCATGCTTCCTGGAGCCGAAGGAAACACTTACAGCAAAGTAAACGTATGCCACAAATTTGGTGGCACCACCCCTTTAAGGTAAAAGCAATCATCGCGACAATAAGCGAAACATGATTATAAGTAAGATTTCACTGCACACAGTTTCATGGCAGTTCCAAACAAAATAGATGTTGATGGAGGAAATTTGAAGAAAAGACCAACAAAGCATATACGAGGAAATGTCCCTGCAGCCAACTTTCTAACTGATGTGATATTTAGCACAATGTAAAACAAAGACCATGAGAGAGGATGCAACACGTGCCCCAACTTTATATAAAATGGTTTATTGCAACCGAAACACTAAAAATAACAGGGTGAGCATCATTCCGTAAATTTTTGTGCTTCCGTTGCGATAACCCATTTTGTTTAAAGTGGACCGGTCTAATCCTTGTGTTATATTGAGCTAAATATTACCTAATTTTTAACAAACAATGCTGAATGTTTTCCCTTGTGCAACTCTTTAACAAGAACTCTTGCCTTGGTCAAGAAAGCAGTGACAAACAATCGTTGTTCCCATTATCAAGACGCCTCCAAGAGTCACAACGTTGGCTCCGGCAACATTCCATGTTCAAGGATTACAAACCAAATGATGCATGTTCCATGTCCAAGGAATACTGCATTGAAGTGCAGGTCATACGCTTCCCACACCTAAGCTAAAAGACGTTGTATGCTATACCTCAATAGGTGCTATGTATCTGAACTATCACTCTGTGGTAACAAAAAGCAATGCCTACCACTTAATAAGGCTCGTTAGGGCTTGCAGGCAGACCGCTCCAATTGTGTACTGCAACCTGTCCTCCGTGTCGGGACCATGAAATGCTGTCATCGCCGATACATACATAAAAGATACCACAAAAGATTACTTTCACACACAACAAAGGTTATATCACACACAGATAGTGAGTACCAAACATGTCTTAGCAACGTGTATACTGACACATTAAAAGGTAAATCCTTGAATAAAGGGATCATGGCACATTCAAAACAAGCAATATAAGACTAGCCCCTTCTTGCTGACAACTGACAGAGTGCCACTGAATGTTTCGCATTCACAAACACTTTGCAGAGCATGCACATGCGTATGGGTGATCTAACTGATGAAAACAATATTTGCAAAGAGTGCATCGTCTAGGCACACATGACGTGTGTAAGAGCGAGCTATACATACTGTATTACATCATAAATGTAAGCTACTCAGGGAACAAACTGTTGGTACTCTGAAGCAAATTCCCATATTAGTTTGACTTTTGTTCACACAAGCTATTTGTAGCATTTCTTTTATTACATAAGCCCTTTGCACAAATAATAATGTTCCGAAAATTTCTGTCGACATCTGGATATTTTTGCTTCTAATTTACTGCCTCACATGACAAAATAAATACTAAATCCCTGAATGCTACACATAGGTTATAAATCCTCGTCACACAAGCAAGTAAGCGATATCAGTACAACACTGATGTAAAAAAGAAAGCACGAAAATACAACTTGAAGCACCACACAATCAAGCAACAATTATATTACATGAGCACAGTGTAAGTTATTTGTGATGGAGCACCTGGTACGCTTCAAGTAGAAAACAAGGATTTATATAGCTAACAAATGTTCACACAGATATTGCAACAAAGGGTGTCATGTATTAGCTCAACTAAATTGAATTCCTATATTCTTCTACTAACACTCGCTATCAACATATCTTCAATGCAGCAGTAGGAGTGTACTCTTAGTTTCAGGACATAGTGCAGATTACTGAAATACGTATACTTCAAGTTAGCTATCTTAAAATATTTATGAGGCAGCTACGGTGAAATTCTAACCACAGAGAAATTACATGGATTTCTGGCACAAGGATTCGAAGCACAGCCACGAAAACATTCTTCGTGTGTGCTTCACAGGGTTGTGCGTTTTTCTGTCTACGTGTCAGTCGTGTGAATGTTTTGCGCGTAAAAACGCACAAACTATCGAGTTGGGCGAACGCGAACGTCACACCGAGTCCGTTACACCTTTCTGGCCTGCCCCCTCAATGCGCCTTTCGGGCGATTTTTTTTTCGGCGTGGCATACATAGAGCAAAATGACTGTTTGCCTGCTCCCCCCTCCTCCCCGAGATCAACGAGTGATTCCTTACCTTACCCTCCCTTGTTTATTTGTTTTTTTTTACCGTAGTACGCCGCTGTCTCTGCGTGACGGCCTGCGTTGTGACAGCAAAACAGTGGCGGGGTGAGTGGCATGAATGTTCATTAAAACTTCTCTCTCCCTCTCCATCACGCCTTCGCTCTCCACCACCTACCGGTGGCAGGGAGGGGGGAGAGGGGCACACATTTGGCAGCTGCAGCTCCCAGCCGAATTTTTCTTGTAAAAGTGTGACTGATATTTAAATACGCTTTCAAATGCTCACTACAGCGATACGATAAGTTTATCTCCTGTGTTGCCCTCGGTGTCCACTGAGCCCTGCCGCGGTGGTCTAGTGCCTAAGGTACTCGGCTGCTAACCCACAGGTCGCGGCATCGAATCCCGGCTGCGGCGGCTGCATTTTCGATGGAGGCAGAAATGTTGTAGGCCCGTGTGCTCAGATTTTGTTAAAGAACCCAGGTGGTCGAAATTTCCGGAGCCCTCCACTACGGCGTCTCTCATAATCATAACGTGGTTTTGGGACGTTAAATCTCACAAATCAATCAATCATCGGTGTACACTGATCGGGTAATGTAACCATCCCCCTCCATGCAAATTGGCACGTCTATGCAACTGTTTGGGTTACCGCTTCAGCGTAAGTGATCGACGCTATGCTTGTTAGTTTTAAATACATATTCAAAATGTATGCGTGCAAGGTGGTGGAAAGCACCCCTGAATGCCCCAGCAGAGTTTGCCTCCACATCGCGCTTCTGGCATGAATATCTCATCATCATTAATAATAATAATAATAATAATAATAATAATAATAATAATAATAATAATAATAATAGTCGTTCTTGTTTTAGATGGGCCTGTACAACCTTATAATTGTTTCTGGGCACGCTACATGAATAAGTAAATAATAAATCATTGATTAAAAATAAAATCACAACTTAGATGCCCCATTAAATGTAAAATTTGACCGTCGGCAGCGTATCGCATCCTGCAATGTAGGCAACAATAGATGCATGCAAAAAATAATCACCACCAGATGACGTGTCATTATAGCGTCACATGATACAGTCATATTACATCGCACCCAATCCTGGCTGGCTGGCTGATCGGCTACGCACAACGGCGTCTTTAACCGGGGAGGTAATGCATAACCACATTAGTTGCAGAAAGTTGTTGAAGGGCGGCAGGATGAACACGTCGACTTATTGGACAAAAAGAAAGAGATGGCTATCGCCTTCGAGTTGTCTTACGTGAATGCATAAGAGACCCTGGATTATTATTATTATTATTATTATTATTATTAATATTATTATTATTATTATTATTATTATTATTATTATTATTATTATTATTATTATTAATATTATTATTATTATATTATTATTATTATTATATTATTATTATTATTATTATTATTATTATTATTATTATTATTATTATTATTATTATTATTATTATTATTATTATTATTATTATTATTATTATTATTATTATTATTATTATTATTGCGTAGCTGATTTACACATTCTCTTCGTGTCGATGTTATATTTACTGAAACATGATCGAAAATCTATGGGAATACAAACTGTTTAGTGTTTTAGATTTCCGAAAGACAACTTGTACGTGAATGTCGAGATCAGCAAGTAATTGAATTAGACTTAGGTGCACGTTAAGAAATTACAGATCGTCGAAATTTCTTAAGCACTTCACTACGGCGTTCTTCATAATCATATAGTGGTTTTGGGATCTAGAATTCCCGCGATTATTACTTTTAGTAGTAAGAAACTGAGTTTTTGTTGGCTGTAAGAGATTAACGCAATTTTTTTTTTCATTGTGATGTGTTTTGACATTAGGACACGAACTGGAAAATCTGCATACTTTGATCATCAGAAATCCTGGTGCATGTTGTCATCTGAGTCTCCATTGCACACCTGATGCTAAGAGACATTAGGCTTTGCAGGTAAAATGTCAATCTAATGACTCATTAGGTGTGCATTAGCTGCACATTAGACTCTAAAAATTCATTTTCGTAAGGGTTGTTTCAGTCCTGAAGCAGTCTTTCGCATGTGGTTCGCACAACGAAATGTCTAGCGCCCCGCCTTGATCACAATGGCGTAGCCAGGAGGTGCGTACCAGGCTACGCACACCAGGCTCGTAAAGGGCTCTATGCTGGCACTTGCGCTTTAATAATGGTACGTTGGTGCTGGTTTGTAGTGTCAAGCTGTGTGCGTGCGCCTAGCTGCATGTGTTTGTGCATGCGCGAGTGTGTGCGCTCGTGTAATGCTGCGTGTGTGTTGTGCTTGCCCACATTTCATCTGGTTGTCCGCTTTATTTTGCGTGAGATCCGTTTCCAAAGGTCTCGTGTAATCGGCGAATTCCTTCTGGAAGCTTTTTAACGGGTCTGAAGTGACGCTCACTTTTTTTTTTCAGAAACTCTTACGGCATTTTGCGCTAGACATCTTGCTCAGTCTTTCAAGTGGTTCATCAAAGTCAAGCGCTCCAAGCAGTGCCCCATACAGGAAAAAAAAGAACCCTGTAAATTAGGCATTATATAAAACTACATAAGCTCTTTATGGCGATTACTATATACCAGTACATTCTTTGAAATTCGGGGCTGGCATGCACAGTTCGTTCTTTGCGAATGCCATAAGAGAGGTTTTCCTCTTCAATGCAAGGTGTATTTTTATATGTTTGCTGCTTTTTGTGCGCTCGGTTTCTTTTGTAAACTCCTTTATTGAACATATATAGGAAATTGGCTTTCCTTAAGATGTTTTTGATACCTAAGTAATAGAATAACTTTTTCATTCATGCACTCCCTTAACTTCCATTTGTGAAGGAGGTAATGGTACTCCTGTATCGCTACATATAGGCGGTTGTATATTTGATTCCTCACAATAAATTAGTTGCTTGCAATTTTCATTTGTGAAAAAGAAAAAAAAATTATCTCATCTTTGTGGTGAATCTCTTTGATGTATCAGTTCTTGCTTTCGTTGAAGGTGCTGTTCGACGACGTCTTGCGTATGGAGACCCCTCCGAAGAAGTAGTGGTCTGAAGAATACGTAGCTTTAACTGCACCCCTAGGTACACGTGTTGACTTACTTATCACCAGCTTTACTACGCCCACTGCAGCAGAGCAAAGACCAGTGCCGTAGCCAGGGATGGCACAACGGACCCATGCCCATATATATATATATATATATATATATATATATATATATATATATATATATATATATATATATATATATATATATATATATATATATATATATATATATATATGGTATTTCTTGAAAGTCTTCCTGGATGGTCGAGTTATATAAGTCACCAGATAAAACGATGCTCTATTGCCAACGTTACGGTCGGGGACAGGCCTTCGTCAGGGCATACCCTGACGGTATGGTACGCCCTGACGAAGGCCGGTCCCCGGCCGTAACGTTGGCAATAAAGCATCGTTTTTCGTTTGCTCTTTCGCTTAATTTGGTGACTACGCATTTTTCGCGGCAATCGATTCGTGAGACAATAAAACATTTTGTTTCTTTCCTATACCGAGGCCATCAAATGAATACTAAGAAAAGTGGTTCATTACCCTTTAAAATGGGATGTCTACTTTTGTGATATTCGTTCTATATGTGTCGCGCTTTCACTGCATCATTCTTCTTTGCAAAATGCTTGAGACATCAGGTTGGGGTGGGAAAGACTTGTGTTCTCGTTCTCGGCTGCTGACCCGAAAGCTTGATCACAGCGGTGTGGTGCCTCATAATCATGCCTTGATTTGCCCGCCCCATTCGCTATGTTTCTACAAAAAAAAAAAGAAAACATTGAGTGCGCTCGCTTAACCTTTATTTCTTCTTTTCTTTTTAGTGCCGCGAAAGTGGGGGAAACGAGTGACGAGCCCAAAATAGACACCAGAGAAGGCGACGGAAGGACAAAGAGAGAAACTGGGACTACCCATCATACTCTCTGGTTTTGTCACACAATATTTATGCTAACTTGACTCTTTCTGGCATAATGATCTAACAATACGCTTCGACTGAAATATACCTACTTGAACTGCGCGCTAAATCCGCAACGCCCGCGCTGTTGCTTTTCATACAAGAAAACATTTATATGGTTTTGACGCTGACTAATTTTAAATTTGAAATAAAAACAAACATTTTGTAGGCTCAGTACTTAACTGGCCACTTTGACGACGAAAAAATAAGAACACTTACACAAGAGTGAGAAGGGGCGTCTATAACGCGTTCGGCGCCTTAGCCTCGCAACAATGGGTGCTATTCCTCTGAGAGGTCGCTGCTGGAGCTGAAGCGCTGAAAGTGGAGTGGTGGTGGAGTGTCTCAAGCCTCGAGCGTTAAAGTTTGGGAGGGTCGATGGTCGATCACGGGCGGCATGCTTACATGTTTTAGCATAATGGAAATTTTTCTTAGGATAGGTTTCATCGGGACTTCGAAGACACTTTCATCATGTTAAAATGCCGGCGTCCAGGATTGGACTGGTGAACCATGTCAAAGAAGCCAGACAAGCATGGTAAGCTCCCCTGCTCGCGATATTATGTAAAACTCAAAAGAGGAAAAAAAGTGCTTCAGGCTGTCATTGTTTCCAAGCGTTGTTGTGCTGCTTAGTTAGCGTTTCGAGCTACCTGCGTGCGCGTAAATAGGGCATCTTATTGCCCTAAGCGAAAGCTCGCGTGAACTCTGGTAAGTAGACTGTCGATCGGATGTCTGTTACACCTTGTGTTTACATATCGCGTTATTCGATCATTTGTTGTGCGCGTAGTGTACCTGATTTGATTTTATTGTTTTTTTGTTCACCAGTTAGTCCCTATAATTGCTTGTGGACAGCCTTGCGGCTCCGCCCGGCTGTCGTGCAACTGGAGACGAGTGTTCCTGAGCGCATCTAACCCACGCAAAATTTCGCGTCCTACAGGAAGGTGAATCACAGATGGAAGATGCGCCTTTGGTATTCATCATAGCGCTGTCGATGGGGCGCCAGCGTCCGGTTTCAACCACGGTGTAAGAAGTAGTTTCAACTACACGGCTTGCAGAATAAACGGTCTTGTACTATCATCTGCAGGCATGCCGTTATTTTTCCGCGTCTCGGTTCCTTCGAACTGAATGAGTGGGGAAAGCGGAAACTCCATAGCAAGCTCTTGACACGAATTACTCCCGTTGGTCACAAGGACTTCCGATATTGTTAGCGCCTGCCGAAGTCATTTTGTGCGTATGTCTTACACGCGCGAACCACCACCGCGAACGTGCGACCCGATTAAACTAATTAAGCAGGACAAGACGGCGGCGTGCCGACCGCTTGTGTTTTAGTGATTTTTTTTTTCGTTTGATAGAGTGCTTAGGCATGGAGCTATTTCCTTGACGTTTAGAAACGTCAAAAACACGTGGGCACTAGACGTTTCGTTTTCTTGTGGTTCGTGCCAAGAAATCTGCGTGTATTCGTATGCAGAAATTTCAACTTTAGAGTGCATGTGCCCTTTAATCAAAAGACGAAACTTTTTAGTGGAACATTACTCCTTCTTCGTACGTGTTTTGAGGGATATTGCAATGATTCATTTCCAGGTGGCAAAACATTCACATCACGAATTTCTTCTAGGGTAAGGAAACCGTGAAGCTCATTTGAAATGGCACCCTTTACATCGTGTCTGCAATTTCTTGCCACATGAAATGTTGCTTAGCGTGCATTGCAGAGTATAAAAAATGTAAGTTTTCATGTGAGTTGTTCAATTAGATGCAATTTTCTGAATCTCATCACTAGTGTATCTGTATAAAAAATAATTAAAACAACCAACTTGTGTGACATTTTAGAGTCATGTTTAAAACTAATATTAAATTGAGTTCAAAATAAAAATGCTAAAAACACTTGGCTCACTCCTTGTTATTTCCTCAGATGTAATGATGTAATTTTTGTGAAAAAAAAAATGCATTTTTGTTGCCATAGAAATTTTTTCACAGTCCACTGTGCACTCTTCATTTCAACTTTTTTGTTCTCCACTGCGCCACAGCTGTTGTGACAGTGCTGGTGACTGTGTTTGTGACTGCTCACAGTTGGCGCTTTCACAGTAACTCTTCTGCCTTTAGATATGTGCTTTCGCATATTTTTCCTGTCACATATTGTCTTTGTACACTTGATATTTCGAAAAAGATAAGTTAAGAAGGACAAAAAAAAAGAAAAGCTTATCATACTCGACTTGGAAATGGAATTATACCTAAGTAAGCCATTGTGTATGTTTCAGTTTTTCAATTTAGTTTTAATTTATTACAATTGAACTTGTACTAGTCTGTACAAAAATATGCCGACGAGGGTCTCAAAGTCAGTGACTGCGAAAAGGACCCTTGGTTAAAAATACAGAAAGATAAGGTGCACAGTAAGAACACGGAAAAAAAAAAGATACGATTCTAAGGGAGAAAACATCAAAAAGTAATACATGCCCTCTATACTATAAAAAAAACATCAAGTAAGCAACATTATACAGCAGAAGGGGAGCCAATTCAATGTAAATAAAGCTATCATAAAGAAACTATTTTCAAAGAATAAAAACTTTAATGCATGCCTAAATGTGTTAAAAGAAGTTGGCTATGTAAGTGATAATAAAAGGTCATTCCAAATTTTAAGCCAAGAAAATCATGATGGCATTTTGCCATAGCTAGTGATGTAGTGAGGAAGTAGAAAATTCAAGTTGTGAGCAAATTTAGTGCACTTATTATTTGTACTCAACCTACCATCAATGAATACATTGAAGAAGAGAAGATTGACTGATATTTAAACAAACCAGAAATAGGTAAACTAGGGCTATCCTGTAGAAGTTCCCAAGCATTCGATTGGAATTAACTATTAGTGATGATGCAAATAGGTATGATCTGTCAATGTTGAATCGATGAGAAGTGAACATTGTATGTGTTTCCCCATAAAGTTATTTCATAGGTAATGTGACTATGAATGAATGCAGAGTATAATAATAGTAAAGTGTGTAATGAAAAATAAGTTCATGCTTTGATGGATGCATGAACTTATTTGGTGTTATTATGATGAATGTATGAGAGGAATGTTAAATTTCACATGTTGGTAAGGGTTATTTATCAAACACTTCTCAAAGACAAAAAAATGGAGTGTCTGTTTAAAACCAGCTGTTTTTTTATGCTAGACATTTTTCTTGGCATGAAAGAAATTACAGCAATATGAATTAAGATACAATTTCCTGGTTGTAGAAAGTTCAAAATACAAAATTATAGTAATTTTTTACTCACATTGTTTCCCCTCAGGATGCCACATACCATTTTCTCCTAACATGATTTTGCATACCCATTAGCCACGAAGCCTTTTTTTTTATGTGGGCATGCTCTACTGATTAATGATATCTTTATAAACCTAGATGGTGTAAATAAGTTTTACTTAAGCCAGTATTTTTATTTTTTATTTCTTGTAGTCCCGAGTTCGAATTGCTTCAGTTTCGTCAAGGATGCGCACAGTGAGGTACACATGAAATTTAAAGTAAAGGTTGCTGTATTTCCGCCATGGCTTTCACACTTGTGAAAATTGTGGTCATTAAATTAAGCTGCCACGTTATGTTATCACAACATATGCGCTGTGACATAAAGTGCTGGCTTTACTTGTTTTCTGTTCTTTGTAACTACTAGTTGGTTACAAGTGTGGTCCTTTTAAAGGGAAGCTAAAGCACTTTTCTAAAAAAAGATTACTTAGGAGCGTGTAGGGACAGTTTGATCTCTTCTGAATGAAAAAAGCGATGTGAGAGTTGTCAAAAGTAAACGCCAATAGCACTTTTTGGTGAAAAAACAGTGGCTTTGGCCGCCGGGCTCTCTTGAGACGCCGAGCGAACACAGTGACATCATTCTCGGTATGCTGCGTCATCTGTAACAGCAGCACTGCTGAAGTGTGGCCTCTTCGATTAGTTCTGGCAATGGCACGTCATAGGTTAGTCACAGAGGCCATGGTTAAAGATAAGAAAGAACACTTGCCCAGGACTAAAGGAAACGAAGATGACATATGTTTCCACACCCACACTTTCAGCGCGCTCGCGGGGGCGGAGCAAGACAAGCTTTTATTTCGCCTGTTCTAAAGCTCCTGCTGCTACAACCGCGAAAACAATTATGGCATTGTCAACAATAATGTTGGTCCTTCCTAAACACGAAGTTTGATGGAATTCTAAAATCCCTTCAGCTTCCCTTCAAGTATGTAGGCTCATTTTCATATATAGTATGTTTCAACTCTTAAACTTCTGTTATATTTCTTGTTTTTTGCCAAGGCGGGGCAAGGGCTTAATTACATGAGCAGGTGGGGCTTTTCGAGCAGTAGCCACAGCTCTGTGGTGTTACTTTTGTTTGCCCTTGCGGAAGGACAGGCATTACTGCTTCTTCAGTATTGGTTTATGGAGGCCATCTAACCTATCTGTCCTTGCTCTTGAATTGGTAGTGCAATGAAAACTTTTTTCCAACCTTCATGTAGCTGTCGATTCTACAATTACAGCATGAAGCCTGAATACCGAATAGCTGCACAAATAATTAATGCTAACTATTAAGTACATGTGCCAATCCTTATACTGCTTTAAACATGGGAAAGGTGACTACCGACAACTTCGGAGGCCACTGACCCCCAATTTTGATTGTAACGATCTCTACTGGAGGCGCTGCTCACCAGTGAAAAGAGAGGTGGCAATCACTCAGTCACACAAACAACTTAAAGCCCACAGGTCAACTCAGTAGGGTAATTGAAGCCCATGCAATGGCTATGCTACTGAAAGCTACCAACTTAGCTCTTCCTATTATGTGATTTTCTTGCTGAATAGGCTCACTTGGTACAGCATTGCCACGTTGTGTCTATATGTGTCAGTGGGATCTGGTGCTGCGAGACTGCCATAACATGCTTCGGTGACATGATAAATCCTTCATGGAACATAATTCGGTATGGCTTTATTGAAATGTGGCTTTATTGAAATGTAGTATTTGTTCTGCTTGCAATAACTAACAACCTTTAGTTTAATGGGCGTTTTTCAAGTTCTGAGCAGCGCCTCCAGTATAGATCGTTACAATCAAAATTGGGGGTCAGTGGCCTCCGAAGTTGTCGGTAGAAAATCTCGGGGGCCAGATATTTTTCGTGATAATTTGCAAATGGTGCCACCCAATGACCCCAAAAATTATGGCGTGCGTGACATCACCACCGCTGCGCATATGCAGGCTAGTCTCCTGAAAAAGGCTTATTATTGGCAGGTGGCTATCAATAATGATATAGCAATGACATAAAAATTTTTTGTCAGTAATTTAAAGTTGATGCAGGCTTAAAGGGGCACGACACATATTAAGTTTTGTTTTCATCGCTTCTTGAGCTGTGGAATGCACTGACGTCATTGCCTGTTTGGCAACGCGAAAAACAAAGCTCGTATACTTTTATTTTGACGGAGAAACCACATTATTTTCAGACTAGAGCGATGCACAACAGATATCTTTGTGATCGAAAGTGACGTTTCCACACATTGTAGTGACAACATTCGCCGGTCGTTTCGATTTGCTTGATGCAACAAGTTGCACGTGATATTCATATGGTCACAGATAGGCCACACTATTTTGCACTAAAAATTATAAAATCATTTTTTTATACTTTTTTATGTTTAGAAGTGTTTTTGCTTTGAAATATGGAAATTTGAAAAGTATTGCAAAGTGATGGTAGCAGCTCTGCTTTATGGCCACGGTGAGGCGAGTTGTCCAGTAGGTCTCTGTAAAAGGAGGTGGCAATTGGAACCAGCCTTGAACATAGCTGTCAGAGTGAAATGTAAAAGACAACATTTTTTCTCGTTATCTGCTTGAATTTTGTTGTTTAAAGGCTAGTAAATTTGTTACAGTGAACAGATTTCAATGATTCTTTTGTGTTCATATCAGTATGCAGTGCTACATGTGCTCTAGTGCCGCAAAACGCCGGCAAAAAAAGGAAACGATGCAGGGCCCCTTTAGCCGCCAAATCGACTGCCGAAAAATGTACTGAAATTTCCAATTTTTATCAAGTAGTCATAATTTTTTTCATGTAATTCTGATTTTTAAAGAATATCACATAATTTATCTCTGTTTAGAAATAGCATAGTAATGAAAAAGAAACACTTTTAAGGGGGGTTGCTTTCCCTTAATACCTGCCGTGGTAACGTGTCGAAACATACTGGAAGTTTCAAGCATTTATTTGATGCCATTCACAGCAACGTTTCTAAACTAGGTAAGTTGCAAAACTGAGCAATGTTGCGTGGCGCCGCCGCTGCCAGCAACAAATATGGCGCTGCTGTCACATCCAGTTTCACTCACTGCATGCTCGCTCACAGAACAACGAGCTCGCTCGTGTCGCTCCCGTAACCTCCATCGCTGTGCATGTTGCAGTGCGTCGATATCTGTGGAGGCTTCTTTCTGCGTTAAAATTTTTGTGCTTCAGAGCACCCTGTTCTGCTTTGTATGTGTTGCGTGTTTTCATCACGCCCGGATATTGCGTTCTCGGCTGTAGAGTAGCTACAGGAAATAAGAGACAACATGACATTTCTTTTGTGCCCACGTGTACCTGAGCAGCGAGAGGTATGGGACCACGCTATTCCTCGTGCAGATAAGAAACTGCCTCAGCTACTCACGTGTGTGTGATATGCACTTTCATGAGAAGGACATCCTGAAGACTTTCACTCACGTCATATGGTAAAAAGGTACAAATCGCAAGAGAAAAGTGGGACCTCGTTGAAGGATGCGTTCCATGAATATTCCCAAATTTGCCCACTTACCTTTGTCGCGGGGCCCGCGACAAAGAAGCGAAAGCTGCCCGATAGGAGTGGGGTATTTTCCGGAATATCATCGGCGAAAAAGAATAGACTATCTCCGAGCACTGAGCTCGAATACAGTGAAATAAGTCTCGACATGCCGTCAACTAGTGGCGTCATTTCGCTTCAAGACATAGAAAACGTTATTTTGCATGCTGGCGGAAAGTTGTTGAGAATGGCGAGACAAGACGTCTTGTGTTGTTTCTAGGGCTCAAAGAAAAAAAAGGATCGCTATTTGTGGAGAAATGCGTTGTCGTCGCAGAAGACATGACAGTCATCATTAGCAGCCATCACCATCACTTAGCCAAGTCGCCTGGTAATGCAGATACCATCACCCAATGGGCCGAACTTCTGGAGGACATAGAAAAGCTGCAGGTGTGTTCATGTTGTCCCAATTGATTGATATGTGGGGTTTAACGTCCCAAAACCACCATATGATTATGAGAGACGCCGTAGTGGAGAGCTCCGGAAATTTTGACCACCTGGGGTTCTTCAACGTGCACCCAAATCTGAGCACACAGGCCTACAGCATTTCCACCTCCATCGGAAATGCAGCCGCTGCAGACAGGATTCGATCCTGCGACCTGCGGGTCAGCAGCCGAGTACCTTAGCCCCTAGACCACCACGGCGGGGCATGTTGTCCCACTGCGCCAGCAGGCAGACTCGTGAGTAATTACTACGAAGTGCTCACCGATACCCCTAAGTGCGGTGTCTGCTCGAAGCTTTGGCTGCAGCTGTGTTAACAGGTTTCATTAGAGGAACTCCAGAAGAAGCAGAGGGAAGACTTGCTCAAGAAAATGGCCGCACGCGTAGCTTTTTGGCGGTCTAAGTTGCTAAAGAATGTGACTGACATGAAAAAAAAAAAGCTGACTACATAACCAGACAAAAGCCACAAGATTGCGCCATATTGTTGTAATTTATTTTCAAGCCTGGAAAACACAGCCGCAAAAGAGGATGCCAGACATTGTAATTGGGTTTTTCGTGTCTAAAAATCTATTGCGAACGTACACCATCTAGCAACTAACCGACATACTCGTATGTTATGCTATATATATCAATCATTGTTTATTGTGGGCAGTTCAGAAAACCATAATTATACTGTATTTGCCTTACACCACTAAATATTACGCAGTATTAAGTTTCTGCGGCAGCACAGCAAATTTCGATAATATACTGTTGGTAAGCTCTTTCAGAACGGCCGCCACAATGTCTTGCCATGACGACTACGCGATTTCGTCTGCTAGCGGAAGCTTGTTGCGCCGCCAGCGCCACCAAACCGGAAGCTGTCCCGGCGCCGTGTGCCGAGTAGTCTGACGCGGGGAGTTTTGCAACTTACTTAGTCTAGAAACGTTGATTCACAGTAACACGGTGACAATTGCGCAGAAATTTCTTCGTCGTAACAAAAGCTTTGATAAATAATGGTCGCTCTTTGTGTTGTATATTTCGAAGCATGATGTTGCAACGTCGTCATCTCGTGGCATCTGAAGCAGTAGCCAGGGTATAGACAACATTCGAGTCACTGTCGACAAAAATTCTATGTCGTCACTAACACTGCTTTCTGTACTGTTCCTAAAAGTACCTCTCTTTTATGGAGCAATGTTGCCACCTGCATTCTTCTTTTGATACAGCATTATGAAATGACTGTTGCCAGTTTTAAAACATAAACTAAAAGCACAAAAAGCAGTTTTCAGACAACTACCCTCATTTAGGGTTCTAAATTGCAAGCAAAGCAATTGACGACTGTGATACATCTTTAGTGGCAAAAAAAAAAATAGAAAATCGGGCCAGATGAGTGCGACTCTTCATTGGGTATATTGGTACCTACTCATGTGACGAGTACAGCTGAGGGTTGACAGTACAGCAAGCACACTGTGCACTTTCTCATGGTTGTGCACCAGAAACATTGCCTGAAGGTCACATGTAATGAAGTAGGGAACTTGAGATGCTCTCTTGTGCCTCCTAATTGTTAAAAAGAAAGTAAAAAAGGGAGTTGGGACAAAATCTTTACAAGGCTGTTCATGAATTTATTACTAATTTGCTGCTTTGTAAGGGCTCTTGTTACTGCACTAAACCTACTGTGTATGAATGATTGTGAAAAACTTCTCAGCATATTGCATCCTCGCCCATCATAGCACTCTAACGAGAACATTTACCGAAGCATTGTGCTACATATACTTTGGTGTCTTTCTGGTGGTTAATATTTATCTAGCTTTGTAGTCTTGGTTTGGAGGCTCCGGGTTTATGCCGTGGGCTGCCTCTTGTGCGCAGAGGTGGGCCGTGCCAAAGGGAGTCGGCTGGCACGCCGAGCACGTTCTTTCAAGGAAGACATCCTGGGAAAGATCCACCAGATGCGGACGCCCAGTCGAGCTGCCTCTCCACAACAGCCACACAAGGCCAGGCCTAGGGCCCGGGACAGTGAGCTGGATGCACCTACTACCGGCCTAGCAAGTCCAGCTGGCAGTCCAAGCAAGGTAAGCTTTTATATAAAGGACATTGTGCTTGTTTAGTTCTACCAACATTGTAGTACTGCCACTAAAGGATTGGGAGACTTCAACAAGTGCAGTATCAGGGGGATTATTGAGCCACAGAAAAGGCTTGCCATGTCACATAGCGATTCCCGTACATAGAATTCTAATAAATCCTGGCTTAGCGCAGATGTAAAGCTTTTTGAATGCGTTTCTGGAATGTATGTCGTTATGAAACAGCCGAATGCTCATTCACTTGTTTAGACTTTTGTATAGTTTTGTTGTTGCATAAACACATCTGAACACATCTGAGGTCCATGCCTGTCTTCTTGACCTAGTCATACAGCAATAATACGGAAAGACGGGCTAGTTGGTACTGCTGCATAATTGAAGTTTTTGCGCACACACACAAGGACACAGAAGAAGGGAACACAAGGACCAGCGCAGAAACTAGAAATGAACTGCAATAATACGGAAAGACGGGCTAGTTGGTACTGCTGCATAATTGAAGTTTTTGCGCACACACACAAGGACACAGAAGAAGGGAACACAAGGACCAGCGCAGAAACTAGAAATGAACTGCAATAATACGGAAAGACGGGCTAGTTGGTACTGCTGCATAATTGAAGTTTTTGCGCACACACACAAGGACACAGAAGAAGGGAACACAAGGACCAGCGCAGAAACTAGAAATGAACTGCAATAATACGGAAAGACGGGCTAGTTGGTACTGCTGCATAATTGAAGTTTTTGCGCACACACACAAGGACACAGAAGAAGGGAACACAAGGACCAGCGCAGAAACTAGAAATGAACTGCAATAATACGGAAAGACGGGCTAGTTGGTACTGCTGCATAATTGAAGTTTTTGCGCACACACACAAGGACACAGAAGAAGGGAACACAAGGACCAGCGCAGAAACTAGAAATGAACTGCAATAATACGGAAAGACGGGCTAGTTGGTACTGCTGCATAATTGAAGTTTTTGCGCACACACACAAGGACACAGAAGAAGGGAACACAAGGACCAGCGCAGAAACTAGAAATGAACTGCAATAATACGGAAAGACGGGCTAGTTGGTACTGCTGCATAATTGAAGTTTTTGCGCACACACACAAGGACACAGAAGAAGGGAACACAAGGACCAGCGCAGAAACTAGAAATGAACTGCAATAATACGGAAAGACGGGCTAGTTGGTACTGCTGCATAATTGAAGTTTTTGCGCACACACACAAGGACACAGAAGAAGGGAACACACGGACCAGCGCAGAAACTAGAAATGAACTGCAATAATACGGAAAGACGGGCTAGTTGGTACTGCTGCATAATTGAAGTTTTTGCGCACACACACAAGGACACAGAAGAAGGGAACACAAGGACCAGCGCAGAAACTAGAAATGAACTGCAATAATACGGAAAGACGGGCTAGTTGGTACTGCTGCATAATTGAAGTTTTTGCGCACACACACAAGGACACAGAAGAAGGGAACACAAGGACCAGCGCAGAAACTAGAAATGAACTGCAATAATACGGAAAGACGGGCTAGTTGGTACTGCTGCATAATTGAAGTTTTTGCGCACACACACAAGGACACAGAAGAAGGGAACACAAGGACCAGCGCAGAAACTAGAAATGAACTGCAATAATACGGAAAGACGGGCTAGTTGGTACTGCTGCATAATTGAAGTTTTTGCGCACACACACAAGGACACAGAAGAAGGGAACACAAGGACCAGCGCAGAAACTAGAAATGAACTGCAATAATACGGAAAGACGGGCTAGTTGGTACTGCTGCATAATTGAAGTTTTTGCGCACACACACAAGGACACAGAAGAAGGGAACACAAGGACCAGCGCAGAAACTAGAAATGAACTGCAATAATACGGAAAGACGGGCTAGTTGGTACTGCTGCATAATTGAAGTTTTTGCGCACACACACAAGGACACAGAAGAAGGGAACACAAGGACCAGCGCAGAAACTAGAAATGAACTGCAATAATACGGAAAGACGGGCTAGTTGGTACTGCTGCATAATTGAAGTTTTTGCGCACACACACAAGGACACAGAAGAAGGGAACACAAGGACCAGCGCAGAAACTAGAAATGAACTGCAATAATACGGAAAGACGGGCTAGTTGGTACTGCTGCATAATTGAAGTTTTTGCGCACACACACAAGGACACAGAAGAAGGGAACACAAGGACCAGCGCAGAAACTAGAAATGAACTGCAATAATACGGAAAGACGGCCTAATTGGTACTGCTGCATAATTGAAGTTTTTGCGCACACACACAAGGACACAGAAGAAGGGAACACAAGGACCAGCGCAGAAACTAGAAATGAACTGCAATAATACGGAAAGACGGGCTAGTTGGTACTGCTGCATAATTGAAGTTTTTGCGCACACACACAAGGACACAGAAGAAGGGAACACAAGGACCAGCGCAGAAACTAGAAATGAACTGCAATAATACGGAAAGACGGCCTAATTGGTACTGCTGCATAATTGAAGTTTTTGCGCACACACACAAGGACACAGAAGAAGGGAACACAAGGACCCTTGTGTTCCCTTCTTCTGTGTCCTTGTGTGTGTGCGCAAAAACTTCAATTATGCAGCAGTACCAACTAGCCCGTCTTTCCGTATTATTGCAGTTCATTTCTAGTTTCTGCGCTGGTCCTTGTGTTCCCTTCTTCTGTGTCCTTGTGTGTGTGCGCAAAAACTTCAATTATGCAGCAGTACCAACTAGCCCGTCTTTCCGTATTATTGCAGTTCATTTCTAGTTTCTGCGCTGGTCCTTGTGTTCCCTTCTTCTGTGTCCTTGTGTGTGTGCGCAAAAACTTCAATTATGCAGCAGTACCAACTAGCCCGTCTTTCCGTATTATTGCAGTTCATTTCTAGTTTCTGCGCTGGTCCTTGTGTTCCCTTCTTCTGTGTCCTTGTGTGTGTGCGCAAAAACTTCAACTAGTCATACAGCTCCTGTTTTGTAACATGACAAAGCTTTCTCACTTTGCCTGCTGATGATAAACCAATCAACCTTTGCTTCCTTTTATTTGTTGTAGCAAATGTTTCATGCAGCTCTACGATCACAATATCCCCAATACGATCTAGTTAAGTAAATCTTCCAATTAGATCGAATCTGATCTTGATGAACTGACACTTAAATTACGTGGCTGGATTATGTGAAATTATTAGAAATTTGCATTGGATTTTTGATACCATTGATATTGTCATATCAAAAGTTATTTATCAAGAAAAATTTCTCAGGGAATTGTAGCAGCTATTAAGAAATAAAAAGCACGTAAAAATGCTTTAGAGGCTGTTTTTAAAGCAGCGGTCTTGCGTGAGCTTCAGCTAGTGCTGATAGCCATCATATGAGTGCACCAAGTATACACATGTATTGTTTTAATTGTCACCCACCAGCCCTAGTGTGTCATTTTGCTTGTTAAACAATACAGCAGTTATTCATGATGCCAGGTACATTGTAACATTATTTATTATGTTATGGTAATTTGTAATATTAAGTATAAAAGCAATTTGTGATAACACCAAGGCATTTAATATTACTTTTGTAACTTCCAAGGCACTTATAACTCATGATAACTTACATGCTTCTCAATGTTTTCTAGCTTTGTGTGGCCTCTTGTCTCCTGAAATGTTTACATACATATTTTTTTGTAATATGATTGTCACTAGCATCTCTACTCTAGTAAGCCTCCTTCCCTGTTAAGAAAAGATTAACATTGTTTAATTTCAGTGAACATCTCGTGGAACCTAAGTTATAAATATTATAAATATGTGCAAATGCCACAGTTAGTAACATCGTGTCAATATGCTTCTTGTGCATTACCATGTTTTTAAGCGCATTCATTAAAGCCTGTGACATATTGTGACACAAAACTGTGCACAGTTGACCTTCTGGAACCAGTTCCTGAAATGTGAAGTCAGTATATCGGGTGTTTCAAGAAATGCGTCTGAAATCTTAAAAATAAGGGAAAAAAAGCGATATTAATTAGATACCTCTAGAATTACTTCTCTATAGCCACAGGAATCTTGAGATTGTGAAAGAATCATTAGTGATGGTAATCAGAAAGTTGCATTAACTATTTAGTTAGTGCAGTTAGGCAGCTATGTCGAATGGTAGAATTGAAGTCCGTCATGTGAAGAACCCATTGCAGCAGTACCAACTAGCCCGTCTTTCCGTATTATTGCAGTTCATTTCTAGTTTCTGCGCTGGTCCTTGTGTTCCCTTCTTCTGTGTCCTTGTGTGTGCGCAAAAACTTCAATTATGCAGCAGTACCAACTAGCCGTCTTTCCGTATTATTGCAGTTCATTTCTAGTTTCTGCGCTGGTCCTTGTGTTCCCTTCTTCTGTGTCCTTGTGTGTGTGCGCAAAAACTTCAATTATGCAGCAGTACCAACTAGCCCGTCTTTCCGTATTATTGCAGTTCATTTCTAGTTTCTGCGCTGGTCCTTGTGTTCCCTTCTTCTGTGTCCTTGTGTGTGTGCGCAAAAACTTCAATTATGCAGCAGTACCAACTAGCCCGTCTTTCCGTATTATTGCAGTTCATTTCTAGTTTCTGCGCTGGTCCTTGTGTTCCCTTCTTCTGTGTCCTTGTGTGTGTGCGCAAAAACTTCAACTAGTCATACAGCTCCTGTTTTGTAACATGACAAAGCTTTCTCACTTTGCCTGCTGATGATAAACCAATCAACCTTTGCTTCCTTTTATTTGTTGTAGCAAATGTTTCATGCAGCTCTACGATCACAATATCCCCAATACGATCTAGTTAAGTAAATCTTCCAATTAGATCGAATCTGATCTTGATGAACTGACACTTAAATTACGTGGCTGGATTATGTGAAATTATTAGAAATTTGCATTGGATTTTTTGATACCATTGATATTGTCATATCAAAAGTTATTTATCAAGAAAAATTTCTCAGGGAATTGTAGCAGCTATTAAGAAATAAAAAGCACGTAAAAATGCTTTAGAGGCTGTTTTT